AAAAAGATTAAGGGGTGGAATTAGGATAAGTTACAGCTCATGAGGTACTCCATCAGAGCATCTCTAACACCTCGGCCCTGCTCTCCATCTTGTGGGACAGCGACCAGGACGGGCTGTGCGGCTGGTTCTGCTTCAAGTTCATCGAGGTCATCCATTTTGGTTGTGTGTTGTTTTCCAGCTCTTCTTCTAATACATGTTAGTGGTGCTTAGAAAAGAGCTTAATGTAGCACTATCACCACCAGCTGGTAAGGTGCGTTGATATTAATAATCCGCCCACTAGAGGTGAACAATCCGCCCACTAAACGGGAACTATAGGCAAAGTGGAGACACAAAAATAGAGGTCCCACTAGAACCGGACACAACAGGCTACAACAAGAACCAGACCTGTGGATACCAGGCTTTAGTCTGCCTCTAAAAAGTCCACATCCAGTCCACTTATTATTCTAAATTAGAAGCACCTGTTTGAGGTCGTTAGCTGCATAGACACCTGTCCACCCCACACAATCAGTAAGACTCCAACTACTAACATGGCTAAGACCAAAGAGAATCAGAATCAGAATAAACTTTATATCATTGCACCGAGATACAAGAACATGTACGTACAGTCATCCGAAAGATGGGCGGAGTGCACGAAGCTGCAACTATAAAAAGCACGGCCTTCATTATTCTTATTCAGAATGATATTTTGCTTTGATGAGAAAAGGGAAGAAAACATGAGGAGAGACGGTTTAGAAAAAGATCTCTCACGCCGTGTCCTAGACGGCACGATTTGAGGCATTAAAAAAAAAAAAACTATCACAGCAAAGCAACATAAATAGTCGTTATACATGCACATATAGGCCGGTGAAGACATTGAATTTTTAAGGGAAGGTCGTAGCATAGTCCAGAGCACCCCCCCCCCCCCCCCCAGCCATTGTCCAGATAAGAGATGTCGTTTATCACCAGCTCGGTTGAGGTTCTGTCACATGCCCACAGCCTTGGGGAAGGGAGGGGTGAGGAGACAGACTAAGCATCTTTGTTATTTTCTAAACATGCCAGGAGGAGTTGAGATAAGTCCGCCATCAAGGCCACAGTTTGGGTCAGGCAGAACTCGTGAATTGTTGTTTCTGCCTTTTTAAAGTCTTGCTGGTATATATTCTTCTCATGGAAACTCCAAAACAGCCAAATTGATCCTTTACACTAAAAGTCGATCTCACAGCTTCTCCAAGATTATTTCCCTTTCATGTGTGCTGCTAGAGAGTCCACAGTCCTGATAACAGCTGCTCCAGCTCCCTGCTGCAGCTCCACAAATTCATTCTGAGCGCTGTCGAGCTTCGACACATCCAAACAAATATGTAGACAATCCAGAGAGACATGTCTGGCTTCACCGGAGGACAGAAAGAAGAAAAAAAAAAAGAGCTGTCCAAAAACACCAGACAAAATTGTAGACCTCCACAAGGCTGGAAAGGGCTAAGGGGCAATTGCCAAGCAGCTTGGTGAAAAAAGAGCAACTGTTGGAGCAATTATTAGAAAATGGAAGAAGCTAAACATGACTGTCAATCTCCCTCGGACTGGAGTTCCATGCAAGATCTCACCTCGTGGCGTATCGAATGATCCTAAGAAAAGTGAGGAATCAGCCCAGAACTACACGGGAGGAGCTGGTCAATGACCTGAAGATAGCTGGCACCACTGTTTCCAAGGTTACTGTGGGTAATACACTAAGACGTCATAGTTTAAAATCATGCATGGGCCGGAAGGTTCCCCTGCTTAAATCAGCACACGTCCAGGCCCGTCTTAAGTTTGACCATGACCATTTGGATGATCCAGAGGAGTCATGGGAGAAAGTTATGTGGTCAGATGAGACCAAAATAGAACTTCTTGGTCTTAATTCCACTCGCCGTGTTTGGAGGACGAAGAATGATGAGTACCATCTAGGAATGCGCGATATAAACGGTATACAGTAGAAACGATAGAAATTTAGCCTACGATAGAGATCTGTCTTCTACCAGCTAACCGCAGTAACGCTGTCTGATGTAAAATCAGAGTTGTCAGTTTAATCATTACTTTTTTTTGTTGAAAACTGCGTAAGTGGTGCTCAAGTGTAAAGACAGCCCTGTCAGATTTAATCATTACTTTTTTTTAGTTAAAAACTGTGCGCAAGTGGCGTTAGTCTTTTCTTCGAGAGCTAAGTAGCGAAGCTACAAGCTAACTACAGTCGGCTTGCCAGTGTGTTGCTGTATTCTGACGCATGCGCAAAACGATGTGTTCCGTCAAAAGTTTTTTTTTTCCTGTCGAAAGTTAAAGTAAGCGTTGGTCATCTTTAGAGAAACCTGCTCTCTGATCTGTGAACAGAACGCTGTGTTGTGTGATTTTACTGCGAGACCCTCTGGTCAAAGCCACAGACTCATTTTGTGTCAGCTCCATTAAAGCAGCAGGAGGCGCCCACTAGAGGTTTGGAGGGTGAAGTGTTTTCAGTTGCTGCTCTGTTGCTGTTCATTTCTTAAGTAAGACTGGAAACTGTTAAAAGTTAACATTTTCTTTTGTTTAAAACATATGGCTAAAACTACATTTGATATCTTTTGCACTACAAGAAAGAAGCCTAATACTTGATTTGTTTATTATTTAAAAACTCTGGACCTAGTAGTGGAATTTTCTTAATTCAAAATATAATGGCAAAAGGACACCCTGTGCTTTTTTTAGCAAGTTTTATACCAAAAACATATCGCGATATATATCGTTATCGCCACCCTTCACAATACATATTGTGATATGAATTTTATGCCATATCGCACATTCTTAGTACCATCCCAAAAACACCATCCCTACTGTGAAGCATGGGGGTGGAAGCATCATGATTTGGGGTGTTTTTCTGTACATGGGACAGGACGACTGCACTGTATTAAGGAGAGGATGACCGGGGCCATGTATTGAGAGCTTTTGGGGAACAACCTCCTTCCCTCAGTTAGAGCATTCAAACTTTATTTAAAAGGACTTTTAATATTTAACTTTTAGTATTTTAGTATTTAGCTTTTTTTTTTAAATCTCTTTTACCTTCTTTTATTCTGGCTGTGTTTTTAATTTACACTGATTTATTGTGTCCTGTTTTTATTTGTTTCATCTTGTAAAGCATCTTGGTCAATGCAAGGCATTGTTGGAAGGTCCTATAGAAATAAAGTTTTTTATTATTATTATTATTATTATTATTATTATTATTATTTTAATTTTAGGATCTTATGTGTGGCCAGATAGCATTTCAAAAAATTCATCCTATTTCAAAGATCATTTTTAATTTCAATACAATTTGTTGTTTCTTACAAATAAGAACTTGTTTTATGGTTCTTTATTTAAACATTTTATTTATCAATAAAATCCTGCCAATCAACAAACCATTCCCATGTAAAGTAACTCCATTAATCTGTCTACTCTCTGCCGATCAGAATGGTCCAAGTGCTCGTTCATGCCACAAGATGTGCATCGACTCACAGCGGCGTCAGATCTACACTCTGGGCCGATACCTGGACTCCAGCGTCAGGAACAGCAAGTCTTTGAAGAGTGACTTTTACCGTTATGACATTGACGCCAACACCTGGACCCTTCTGAGCGAAGACACGTCAGCTGATGGGGGGCCGAAGCTGGTGTTTGACCATCAGGTAGGTAGGGCTGGGTACCTTTCTAAAAATAAAAAAATCGGTATCAGTACCGGTGTCAGTACCTTCACTTCGGTGTCGGTTCCTGGATGGTTCTTTTTTTGGTACCAATTTTGTAATTACTATTAATTCTAACAAGAATAAAATTGTTACACATTACAGTACAAATTGTGAGTTTTATTTCTTAACTTTGGTATTTCTATTCCAAGCAGTTTTCTTACATAAAAATAAACAAATAATTTTCAGATCAAAAGAACAGTTGCAAACAACAAGTGACACGTCAGTGTCTAATGCTCACTGCTACACACTTTGGACCTTTTCACTTAACAGTTTTTCTTCAGAAACATCAACATGTCTGCTTTCTCTGGACACAAACAAGCCCGCTCCTGGCTGATGGTGTCTTCAGCAGCAGAACATGTTCACTCTGAGGCTGTAGATGATGCTTGTTGCACACACAGATACCTGGTTGCCAGTTTGACAGCACTGACATAGTGTCCCTCACATTCCACCAGCAGGTCACTGGATTCACTGAGGTTAGGGATGATGCAGACTTCTGCACCTCTGTGTCTCTTCCTGAATTTTCTCTGTAGTTCGCTGGGGTTTAGGGTGTCAAGTAAAGTCACAATTAATGAAATCGTCCTCTGTCCACAAGAGACAATACCATATATTAAAACTATATTTTATTAGAATAAACTGTATGTTGAAATTATGATAGATTAAAACTTTATTTTGTGATCCTGTTTTCCCGCTGTGAGTCTGAGGATGACAAACGAGCATGACTTCACGAGGCCTTGCACGCAGCGATATTAACAAATGGCTTTCTTAGCCTCTCTCGGCCTCAAGCCCAAGGCATATTTAGCATGACAGCGTGAGGTCTTACAAAGCGAATGTATGAACAAGAGGTCTCTTATGATCCATGTTAAGACCCTCATAGTGAACGCTACTCTTTTGTGAATAAAAAAATGTTAAAACTTACGTGCTGAAAAAGAGTAATTAACATGTAATTTGGGAAAGGTGGGATTGTTACTAATAATTACTATAAAAGAAAAATGTGTTGTATGAAACTCAAGTGTAATGTAACTCATGTATCTGATGAAGAACGTTTTAGAGACAGGATGGGAATGAACACACCTTAAAAGGACATGGTTTTAAAGAACAGAATGTCCCCTTTGGTTCCAAGAAACAAACACTGTCCTGAATGCTAGGAAAGCTTATCGGTTAAGTAGAGGAACCAATCACAGGTCGTCACGCCAGACATCAGTGTTGAAAATTAATACGTTGGGACTCGTTAAAACTGGTTTCGGCCAGTCGGCAGTTTATATAAATCGTAACGTGGCTACATAGCGTGGCCGAAATTAACCGGGGAGTTGACGTGACAGGACAATATTGATTTTGCCCCTAGGAGCCACTGAGAGGGATTTGCACAGCTCAAAAAAGGAACTTCTTTTTGTCAAGATAGGAATACTTCTTTTTACTTCAGCCTCGGCTGATGCCAGACCAGACACTTCGGAATTAGGACTGCTCTTGGGGCCGAGGGTGATTTCCTCCAGGGCTCTAGAGGAGAAACTTCACTTACCATTACCCTAAGAGGTCTTTAGACAAATGGTGAGCGACCCCTAATATATTGTTCTGAGAGAAATTTTATACAAAATAACAGCGATTATTTTATCACTAAATGAAGAGATTCGATTGAGAGTACTGTCCTGGCGTTCTTGAAAAGTCATCATACAAACTGTGTGTTATTAAGATTGATTGTAACAGCTTAGTTTTAAGTCTTGTTGGCTTATTGAAGAATCTTAGGGGTTTTGGGTGTCTTAGTACGCTTTAGGTCTCCAAATGCGTAGCAATCCCCACCAGATGCAACTCGGCTCATCGGAGCTAGGAGATAACTATTTTAGTGGACTTTCAACCCTTGGGATATCAAATCGGTCAGCAGGATTTTCCCTTAAGCCATGTATGAACTCCTTATTACTGATTTTACTGAATAATTATACGTAATCATTTTGGATTGTGCTGATAACGCTGTTCCCTTGCAAATCATTAATTAAAGCAAAGCATAAAATGTAAAACTCTGGACTATCATTTCATCACTTTGTGCTCATGGATTTGAGAAGCTTGGTTCAATTCTAACAAGAATGGGAGGTTATTAAAGGTTTCTTAGCTTTGTCTATAAACAACATCCTAGAATCTTATTCCTAGATTCTAAAAATTACCAGATCAGTAAGAATAACCATTCTACAACCGAAGGTGGGCAGCCATAATGCAAGTTTCCCCGTAGGCGACGATCCAACCCCAGCTGCTAGGTTGGGCAAGTCATGGGGGGGAAATAAGGGTGTGACTTGCAAATGAAGGTCGTTAACAAATCTGGGTGAGTCACCTTCAACACAGACTTAAGTAGAACTAACCTAAGGTCACTCTGGGTAATACTAAAGTGCTAGATTGAGTTTGTGATACCCCTTAGAGGAGAGGCTGTAGTGGGGATTTAGCCATAACTCAAGTGGTAACTTCACTGGGTAGAAAGACACAGGTCATCCGAGAAACAGTCCTTCCAGCGTGTCCTGGGTCTTCCTCTGGGTCTCCTCCTGGTGGGATGTGTCCGGAACACCTCACCAGGGAGGCGTCCAGGAGGCATCCTAACCAGATGTTCAATCCACCTCAACTGGCTCCTCTCGATGTGGAGAAGCAGCGGCTCTTCGCTGAGTCCCACTCGGATGACCAAGCTTCTACCCTATCTAAGACCCCAAGATACTTGAACTCCTCCACTTGGGGCAGGACCTCCTCCCTGACCCGGAGAGGGCACTCTACCCTTTTCTGGCTCAAGACCATGGCCTCGGATTTGGACGAACTGATCCTCATCCCGGCCGCGTCGCACTCTGCTGCGAACTGCTCCAGCGAAAGCTGTAGATCACGATCTGATGAAGCCAATAGGACCACATCATCTGCAAAGAGCAGAGACGCAATCCTAAGACCACCAAAACGGATCCCCTCAACACCTTGGCTGTGCCTATAAATTCTGTCCATAAAAGTTATGAACAGAATCGGTGACAAAGGGCAACCTTGGCCGAGTCCAACTCTCACCGGGAACAAGCCCGACTTACTGCCGGCAATGCGGACCAGGCTCTGACACTGGTCATACAGGGACCTAACAGCCCGTATCAAAGGGCCTGGTACCCCATACTCCCAGAGTACCCCCCGCAGAGTTCCCTGAGGGACGCGGTCGAATGCCTTCTCCAAGTCCACAAAGCACATGTAGACCAGTTGGGCAAACTCCCACACGCCCTCCAGGACCCTGCTGAGAGTGTTGAGCTGGTCCAGTGTTCCACGACCAGGACGAAAACCGCACTGCTCCTCCTGAATCCAAGGTTTTCTTTATTTCACTTATCATATTTAATAATAATTTTAGCGGCCTCACCAGGCAGAGATTACAAGATTTTATGTATCTTACCTGCTCTTTTGATGTGTGTGACAAGGGTCTTTGTGTCCAAAGCTGTTTAACAGCTTGCTTCCAGAGCTAACAGCTTCCTGTGTTGAGTAGAAAAATAAAATAAAATTAAATTAAATTAAAGACAAACAAAAAGCTTAGTGCTACTTCTTGTGTCATGCTTTCTAAAACAGTTATTGAATCAAGGATTTACTTATGCTGGGAAACAGATGTTTTAAAACTTGTTAAAATACACCAAAATGCAGGAAATAGCTACTTTATAATACTTTAGTATATACTTTATTCAAAAAGTTGTGGGGGAGGACCCACAGACCTCGCACCAATATGTAGAGGAAAGGATCCTCAGATTGTTGAATTTTTATTAATAATTTTATTCTGAAGGGGCACCACTTGCTTTCCGGTTCTGAAGCAAGAAATTATTAAATCAGACTCGAGTTTTAAATTTTTAGTGAGTTCTTTTTGTATTTAATTCAAATGTCATATATAATAAAAACGCTTTGAGTCAAAGTACAATTTTGTGAGGTTTATTATCGATTTTGGTGAATATAAGTGGTCAAAATCAAATCATGAGTACAGCTGAAGAAATGAATGATGGCTTTAATTTGACAACACAAGATGAGGTTAGATAATTATCTTCTAACTTTAATATGGTGAATTATGAGGTTTAAAAGCAGAGTAAATTATCATCTATAAAATTAGCTAAATGAAGTGTTTTGGCTAGATGTGATTTGTAAATTTAGGATAACTTGATTCTAATTAGTAATGATGAATTTTGTTAGACTGGACAACTTCTTATCTTGGGCATCAGACACCAGCAGAGAAAGAAGAGCAGCTTTTCCTACCGATTGGAGAGTGTAATTCAACCGCCACGGGTTACCAGGACTCTGTTGAGATGAGTTAAAGCGTCAAAGGTGGGATTTCCCTCAACACTGGACATCAGCTGAAATATAGAGTCGACAGTTAGGCTCCCGATGGGGTCAGTTGATGAGCTCCCGGAGGGCTGCGTTTTCTCCTTCTGGTGATGAGGATCTTCTGGCATAAGTTTCCAATTGTTTGACCTTTCTTCTTCAAAGCTTCTTCCAGACTGCTCTAAGCCAAACGTCAGAATAAATTTCTTTGACTTTGAGGGCGTTACAATATTGATGGTCGAGCCAATCACAACAAAAGGGTGGACCTTTGTTTCAAGTTACTGTTTGAACTTTAATAATCTTAATAAAAAAATAAATGGCTAATTTACTCTGCTTTGGTAAATTCTCAATATAACAGGATAATCAAAACTTCTAATCAGTTTTTATTCATCCATAAACACTTTCATTAGAACATATGCAAACACAGTTGAAACCTCTGAATACCTGTTTTACATCAGAACATTCACTTGTGTTAAGGAGAACTCAGAAATGATTTCTACCATGGGATGGCAAAAAGAGTCCTTGAGAACAATGGGGTCTTTCTCACACTAAGACTGTAGGATGAATCCTCCCTTTAGGAAGAGCTAAGCATACGCTTTAGATGTTATATTTCAAAGGTCAGATGGAAAGGTTCTCATACAAAGGGCCTTTTA